AACGAGCAAATACTTTTTATTAAATTACTCAATACAATTGTTTTTGTTAGCATAATTTTTCTATAAAACATTTCTCTGATTAGTTATACAAAAATATATACGATAACCAATACAAAAGTTGTTATATATAATCCAGTATTCAAAAAAGTCAAGATGTATGTTCACGTTAATATATCGAATTAATAAAAATTATATTTTCAATGAGACAGATTGAAAGAGTTACATTTTCACCCAAATGCTCTACACCATGTTTGACTGATATGAACATTGAATTCACTCTCTATCGTCTAGAAAATATACATGACAGCATGCTCTTTAGCAAAGAGTCCAGAACAAAAATAAAAAAACAAATCGCCTACACTTTTCCACCGTCGATCGCCGGTTGACCAGTTCCATCTCTGTTGTAACGATATAATGTGATAATTTGCAGCTGTTGTTAGTAACGGTTGTATTTTAATAAAATTCTTCTTTTCTCACTACACAATCGATGGCAAGAATGAAACCACAACTTTATTATTTTCCAAATGGAATATTGAAGAAAATCAAAATTCTGATTCAAGTGAAGCTTGCAAAAGTGCTCGTAGAATCTTTTATATTAGAATTTAGATTCTGTTTTGAGATTATATGATTAACTGATTGAATTATGAATGCAATGTTTTTCTTTTCTCCAGTTCGGTTGTATGACAATACATGACCATCGCAATTGAATTAGATTTTTTACAGCAGAAAATGAATAATGATTTTGTATGGTATGCATATATAAAAGAAGCCTATTATGAAATAGTAACTATGTAGGAGTCTTGTGTGTATGCAACGCAATAAAATTCCTAGCTTTCCTCTTGTGCAGCCCATTTTCATACTAATCAACAAAAGCACGAGCACAAAATCATAATTTTTACTTTGCAGTACTGCTCGTTTGACAATCTTCGCATTCCTAATCGGATTTCATTCGTGATTGTGAGTGAAAATAAAACTGAAATCTATTGCTGAAAGGCAATGTTGCCTACTCGGCGGCGTTCCACAGTAAAGCGACCTCATGTCATTAAGCTTTATCTTCATCGTCGGACGCAACCCCACCAACCTCATGTAAGTTTCTATCTTTTCTCAAATATCATAAAGAAAAAAAATACCTATGATGTTTTTCGACAGAGACATCGATATTCATCAAAACTCAGCATTACATTGCGCTCCGTTACTCGTGAACAAAGTCATTCATCAATAGCAAATCATCGAACAGACCATAATGAGGTATTTATAATTTTTCAAACAATATTTATATACTCCAACGTTACCTACGATACTAAGATTAGAAACTTCAACAAAACGAAGAGATTCAATATATATTTATAACTATAGAATTCATACCTTGAGATTTTCGTATCATTCGAGGAATTGAGGACGAACTAAGATAAATCAAGAAATTTAATGAATTCAAGTGATATAAATGATTTAGATATCTATATATATTGGTGTGAATCTAAGAACTCGCCTTGCTGATACCAAAATCCGTATAATGGATTCTACCTTCACGTCCTCAGTCACTCACTTTGTCCTCCGTTTTTTAATTTCCTTCAATCTATCGATTTCTATGAAGTAAATATCTAAATTGAATTCAAAAATAATTTAATATTTCAAAATTTAATAATTAGTGACAAAAAGAAGGTAAAAATAATGTTTATGTGAATAAAAATTCATAATTCAAACTCCAGACAGGGAAATGCAAATGATAAGTTTCTTCTGATTGATTTTTGTCTTCCAAGAAGTGAGTTTGATGAAACTAAGGTAAAAAGAAAAGACGAACTGTGACTGTAGGCATAATTGAAGAGTTCATCGACGCAAAAATCGCATCCACATCTATACCAGCCGATAGAGACAGAGTCAGACTACTCACTCAAGAATTGTACCTGTTTTAGGATAGTCGAATCATGATTAACAGTATTATTAAATAATACGGATGCTAATACTTGTGGATCAGCATTAACTATCAAGACTAATGCCATAGCAGTATTGTCATAGGTTGAGCACTATGATTGCGTTATTGTTCATTCTGATATATGTATTCTACGTGAGTTTGGGAGAACTGATCGAGTATGCTACCCATAATTTTCTGAGGACTAGTTGAGTATGGTACTTGTCGCATTTTAGATGCCGCATCTCACATGATATCTGCAGCATTTCACGTGCTACCAGCAGTATTCCAGGTTGCTTCTGTAGCATAGTAGGTACTGCCTGTCATACTGTAGATAGTACCTGTGGCATCCGAGGCTATGACTGTAGTGTTGAAAATAGTTGTGGCATCTTACAAATTACACGTAGCTGCTCAGGTGCTGCTTGCTTCATATAGATGTTTATTTGCAGTTCGAAAAGTTAGACGCAGTATTTCAATTAGGTCTCTAAAATTTGTATTCAGAACACGGACTAGAAGTAAAAATAATGTTAAAATTAACTAAAACTAATACCTATAAATTGAAAGCATTAGTTGTTGTCAGTTTTGGATATGTTCAAATGACAGAGTGAAGAGTGTGTGTGTGGTGTAGTGTGGATATCGGTGTGAGTGTGGATGTGGATCTAATTATTCTATCCATCCACAACCCGACACCCACTCACGTCTAAAACTACAATATCGATTTGTTTTCTTCATATGAATGATTATTATAGTCAACCACCAATGATTGGGATAATGATGGAGGTAACAAGGGAAACTCTAGCTTTTCAGCTATAGAACAAGGCAATATTCATTTATCAACCACAGCATGCAAGATCTTATCCAATGATGGCGAACCTCAGTTAGCTGCATATGCACCTGATCGAAGTCCTTCTAAAGTTCATGATCTCAATTCAGTGAGTTGTTTGTTTTTTTTTAAGCATTAAACTTTTTTCTTTGAAAGTATTCTTTGGGACGATTAATTCAAAGTGTTCCTGTGAATGATACTCCTCGATTACAGAACCGAGAGAACAAACACAAAAGACGAAGGTCTTTTATTCATATACCTTTATATAATTGTATAACGTTTTTTCTAGACTTTTCGGTGGTTATTGTTACATATGCTCCCCTTGTTGTTTGTTTCTCTCAATATTGGGGTTTCTACTTGTTGGCATCGCTATTGCCGCAATTGCAATTGGTTTATTGGTCAAATCTAAGTCCATAACAACAACACCAATAATAACGACAACGACAGAAACAACAACAACAACAACAAAACCGACAACAACAACAACAACGACAACAACAACAACGACAACAACAACAACAACAACAACGACAACAACAACAACAACAACGACAACAACAACGGCAACAGCAACAACAACAACGACGACAACAACAACAACAACGACAACAACTTCTACAAGCACTACGAGGCCCCCTGGTAAGTCTACTGACGTCAATACTATGTGTCACTTCGGATTCACCAATTACATTAGTTTATTTGTGATGAGTAGAGAGAACTTATCTGCATTCTACGTAACTCACTTTGATTTATTGACTGTAATTTAATATGTTATTCATTAGTTGTAGCAGAAACTAGTATTAGCCAAGCTATTGTGAAACAATAAAGCGAAACTTATATTGTCGTTGACCTGAAGAGCACCAGTTATCAAACCCCACTACTACTGATGAAAAAATTTACGACGAAAACACCCGTTAGCCACTTTTTCTGAATTTCATCGCGGTTTACTCGAGAAATACCGCGCTATTTGCGTATAGCAAAAATTATTTATTTCAGATACCGTAACGTGCTAATGGATACCTGTGGGTGACTTTATAGCAGTAATTGCCAGTTTTTAAATACCACGGTATGCTAGTAGACAACCAGAGTGTTCCGCATAGCAATAATTATGTGTTTCGAATATGGTTGTACGGCTTCTGATAACGATATTTACGAGTATAGGAGGAGTTATTGATTTCAAAGATTGCGACATTATTACGAATATTCACAGCATCAGATATGATCACTATTGCTCGAATAATTCTGATTTGAATTTTCTAATTGATATCGAGGTGAGTTGCAGTATTTGATACTGAGGGTAGTGATGATTTTCTTAAATTGCACTCTCAAATACACCGATGAATAGTGATTTTCCAAACTGTAATGACCTTGATATAAATGCAGTGTCTTTTGTGAGGGTTCATGACTATTTCCGATAGCATGGTGAGTCGATTTGGCATTGCGTTAGTGAGTAATAGAATGAGTGAGCATTTTCTAAATAATGTCGGTCTCGATTGTAACCGCGATATCTTACCCAAGTTTTAGTATGTCAAATACCGTGACGAATTTACCCATAGTCACATTTCGTCATCATGAGCCATTCGGTAGACAGTCTTCACTAGAGTTCTAATTTGTCGCACTGCGGTATCCATCTAAGGAACCAAATCTTCGCAAGTTGATGTGCATCTAATTTTCACTCTGGTGTTTACACATTTCTTACAGTCCATATTGTAGTATAACGGAATTAATAGGAGCGATAATTATGTTGTACACAACTGTTTTTGACATATAATCTTCAGATTTCATTTTTATGAGTAACTGGATTTTGTTAAAATTTCAAGTAGATCTGATCATCTTGAGTTAACATAAGCTCCTAAAAACTAATGATGTGCTGCGGTAAGAACAACCAAGGAAGTCGGACCATTTATTCGCTTTTCAATACATTTTTATAACATCTCATAAGGACACCGCTGTTTGAAGTAGTTTTTCGCCCTCGCACCAATGAGATATCTTATTTGGTATTTTGAAATCACTTCAAACGGCGGTTCTACTCACCGTAGTTTCAATTTATTTTATTCAAGAATTTTTTCCACGAATCAACTATCTTTTGTCTTATAAGTAATATGTTGAAATATATCTTAGTACTTGTCTAAAGTATCTAGGATTGATTTAGCTTTGACTCAGTGAAAAACTATAAAAATACAAATTGTCCTGTGGTTACTTGTTGTTCATGTTTTGTTTTATCAACAGAAAATAGAACGTATTTATTTCTCCATATAAAAGTTCGATAGTTTTCAATTAATTAGTAAATACTAGCAACGTGTTTCTCTCGTGATAGGCAATGTAAGTGAGAAAATTTCTAGCTGGCTTTTGATTAATAGCTGTTGCATGCCAAAACTCTCGATATCATTTCGATGGCGTAATAATTTTTCACATCACAACGTTAATTTGAGTTTCTATCAATCTTTTGTTGCCTAGTATTTAATGTCAATATGCTAGTCAATGGTGATGCTGAAACAGACTCTTGTGCAACGGATTCAAATGTCACTAGCCCTACAGGATGGAACTACGATGGAGACATAACACAACTCGCTTACAACAACAGTTACATATACAACAGAGTAAACACTATTCCTTCGACTGCGTAAGATGAATATGAAGTTTCTTGTATCGATTTTGTTTCTGCAGTAATCCAGGTCGTTGCTTATTCTATGGGCAAACATCGGCAAACACATCAATGTGGCAAACAATCAATCTGACTGATTACGCTGATTCTTCTCTCATCGATACTGTAACAGTGAAATTTAATCTCTCAGCATGGCTTGGTGGCCATGCGCATCATAATGACACGTCTGCAGTTTCTGTAAGTTTTGTTGATCAAAGCAATCAAGCAGTAGGAAATGTAACCAGTATCGGACCCCTGACCAATATTGATCGAAGCAATGTAACATCATTTCTCTTTCGTCAAACGACAGGACTCGTGCCTGCTGGAGCTCGTTCAGCAACAGTGCTTGTCGTAATTTCTCGTGCTATTGGACCTATTAGTGATGGCTATGTCGATAACATTGACGTCTTCTTATACCAATGATGATGAAAAAATAAATTTGTGTTACCGTAAAAGATTCGTATACATTAATCTAATTTTTTGAGGAAAAAACATTATTTGACCGATTTTCTGTGGAACTCAAGGATATTTTCAAAGAGAATTGTGAGGGCAAGTTTAAGTAGAAGTTTTGGGGCTTCTTTCCCGTGGCACCTCCATTACAAGCCTTAGAAGCCCCTTCGCTCTACACGAACTTCAGTATCCATTTAAGAACCGTGGAAGGAAGAAACCAAAAATTATTGAATACACTTCCATAGCAACGGGAAGTGGCATGCAAGTAATATCAGTGCATAGGGCTTCGGTGTCGGTGCGAGTGTGCCTGTGGATGTGAGTGAGGATGTTTCCCTTCTCGCAGATTCCCACCCACATTCATACCTATTGATGATATGAGAACATCCAACTTGAGAAAGTGGGAATATGAAATTTGTAATTTGTACGATAGAATCATTCCTTATAACTAATTGACACGTGTTTCGGCTTTGAGAAGCCTTGTTCAAAATATCTTAAAAGTTATATACGTGAAAAATAGAACGCTATGAAACAAAGTGAAACAAAGTGAAAGAAAGAGAAAAGTTCAATTAACAAATAGTAGCTACAAGTTGTATAGATAACAATTGTGAAGTAGAGTATAAAGAGTCACACTTAATAAAGTGTCTTTACAACTGACTGCAGATGATTTAATGAGTGAGAAATGATTTATCTGTTGTTTATAAACAAAGAGGAAGAAGAAGAAAAGAATAAATAATGATAATAATGACAATAATGTATAGGTAAATCTATTGAACAGAAAAAGTCATTGGTGTATTATGTATTTTCAAGAAAAGTGGAAAACGAAATTTATAATGAAAATGATAAGTCAATGGAAAAAGTTAGAAAAGTGATAGAACATTCTTTACACAATTGATGTAAGAGTACAGATCAGGTTTTGTATTTTTTGTATAAAATTACTACAACAGTGATGGTGATTCATAATGTGATTGTCACTATCGGATATGTGGTGAATACAATGGAAAGAGAAAAAAAATATATGTCTGAGCGTATATTGGAAAGAATAGGCGATATATAAAAAAATGGTTATAACTATAGTAGAAGTATGTAGTCAAAAATAGAAAAGAACTAGTAATAAGTAAAGAAGAGAAATTTTTTAGGTGGATAATATGATATAACATGTCTTGATGGGACATGTGCAATAAAGAATGACATATTCGTACAAGTGTAAAGAAAAGTTTTTTGATGGTTTTGAAATCTGTGAGATGTACAAATATAGGCACTTTTGTATAGGTAAAAACATAGAAAACTTTATAAGTAAATAAATCAATAGGTTAATTCATTAAATAATTCATAGTAAATAAATAAATATATAGTTAATTAATCGTTTAGTTAATATATAAATAAATATATGCATAAATACACATTCTAATGAATGCAGAATTGATTAAGGTAAAGAGAAAAAATATCTATACAGTTATATAGATACGTATTCACACCCACACCCAATTTGCGACCCCTTTTCTCCGCATGAAATGGAAGAAATAAAAAAAAAGAGTCTGCGATGCCCTGCAACCGATGATACTCTTTCAAATAAAAAAAAATACTAAATAGTTCTATTGAAGCTTCACAGAGAAATTTGAGTTGCCAAATGAGCCAACTCTGACACCTTTTCACTCATTTGGCAACCCAAAATTCTTGGGCTGTTGGTGTGGATACATATGTGGAACATGTGTCTTACAGTCTTCTCATCAACGCTCATATCCACCTACACCCGGATAAAAAAATGTTTTCAAAATGCTGCTATTTTGAGAAAGATCGCCTCGAAATATTTTAAGTAAGAAAAACTTCAAAGCCTCTCAAGAAATTCTTTTGGAGAATTTCCGGTTTTTCTTGCTGAAAGTTTTTCGAATCTATCTTCTTCAAAGCAAAAGCGTTTTGAAAATACTTTTGTATGAAAATGTTCGAAATGGAAAGCTCTGCAAACTCTGAAAGTTTCATTAAAATCTGAGATCACTTTCCTACAGTGCGATCTCCATACCCTGAAAATATTCAGCAATGAAACTAGAAGAATTCGATCTCCTCAGAAACAGGCCATGGGGCTGAATTCTTTTTAGGGTAGATGTAGTGCACTAATGTCTAAAAAATGTACTTAGGCCCGACTGAAAAGTCTTCGACAACTTGAATATATTTCCTCTGAAGCTTCAGAATAGTCTACACAATGTTATTACTTACGTGCCATTCCCCGCTGCTATGGAAACGTATCCAACAACTTTTGGCTTCCTTATTCCATGTTTGCCAGGATGTGAGGGATTAGAAACTAGGATCTCTAATGGAAGACCTGGGGTGAGGTGGAGAAAGCCTCCAAAAGTTGAATTTAAAACTCACGCTCAGTATTTTCTTCGAAAATATATATGAGTTCCTCAAAAACATAGAGAATGGTTCGAAATTCACTTTACTGAAGAAATTGAAAAGCTCTATCAGACTTTGATCAAATGAACTGATTCTTTTGTGACTGATAGAAGAATGTTGATAGGTCATATTAGTAAGAAAAACATTGGCTAATTTTGCTTTGAAGTATCATCGTTAACCTCAATAAAGAATAGTAACCTTTCATAACTTATAAAAAAGCAATATAATGGTTTCTTGAGTCAAAAATAAGCTATACATATTTGTTTTTCTATGAACTCTCCATAGAACTGTCGTTTATTGTAAAATTGATGCCGTAGATGCATATCTTGTAACTTATTGTATTC